TGGATATCTGCTGATAATCAGCAGATGATGTCACTGATTTATTCACAGCAAAATGCTGTTTATTGAGTCCGTGCAGTCAAAGTTCATGTCTGTTCCTCCTCTGCCAAGAGGTGGTTATTCAGAGCTGTCTGACACTCAGGGGTCAGCAGGGGGTAAGTCAGCTCTCAAAACCATCAGGGGTGCGTGTGGCAGGACAGTCCCTCCTGGAGCCATGAGGTCCAGAGAGGGTGAAATGGAGCTGACAGGAGGCGAGTTCAGATGTTGTTCAGGTAGCCAGGGACTGCTGTGGCTACAAAAACTTTGTGTGAGTCTGGAGAAGAACTGGACACACTCACCAAGAGACTGCACTGAGTGTTCTTGATAGAACTGCAGAATGGCCTGAGCTGGAAGGGACCCACACGGACCAGCAAAGTCCAGCTCCTCACCTTGACAGGACAGCCCTAGCAATCACACCCAGAACACTCAGATGCCCAAACTGACTTGGGGAGGCCCAGAAATACAAACCACTGGAAGTGTGAAAATGCATAGTATTCTTATTCATTCCTTCCCTTCCCAAACGTGTGTGCATGGGTGCTCTTCCAAACTGGAGGTCAAGCTAGCTGTGCCCTATTCTTTGGTTCACCTCTTTGCTTCTTGGAGGATGTGACATGAGGTCTGAATTGGATCATCAAATCCAACTTCTGGTGCTGCACAGACACCCCAGCAATCCCACCCTATGCCTGAGGGCTGTCCAAAAGGTCCTTGAGCTGTGGGAGCCTTGGGGCCGTGACCACTCCCTGAGGAGCCCGGGCAGTGCTCAGCACCCTCTGGGGGAAGAACCTTTTCCTAATATCCAACCTAACCCTCCCCTGACACAGCTCCAGCTTCATCTCTTTGTTGTTTATGCTGAAGCTGTCTGGCAGAGTTGAGGTGTCCTGAAGAGGCTTTACCACACACCAGAACAGCTCTGCAGAGACCCTGTCTTTTTCCTTACGAATGTGGAATGCTTTGATTGAGAGTCTGCTCATGTGGACCCCCACTGATCCAGGACTGATGGGTTGCTTTTCAGATAAGTCACTTGTTTCTGGAGAATTACACATTCTGGGCACTGCTAAGCCAGGTTCTCATGGTCTGAGCTCAGCGCAAGGCTGGAGCATCATGTTGGCTCTTGAGGTTGTGTTCCATCATCTAATGCTGCTGGGAGCTGTTGTACCTTTTCTGCTGTGCTCGATGGTGTGAGCACTTTGGAGAAGGGCAGTGTCCATTAGGCTGGAATTTGAATATTGTTCTCATGCTTTAATTTGGGAAGAGTACAAACACCTCAAGCCTAAAGATGAGAAGCTTTTTCAAAGTGCTACCCAGAGTTTTGTGCTGCTAACTGGTAATAAAATAATAATGAGTTGAAGTACGAAAAATCCAAAATCTGTCTGTCTACCAGCTTTCTGAGAGAACTATGGAGAAGTGGTTTTGTAGAGTCACCTTCCCTGCTGTGGCAGAAGCCATGTCTTCCTTGAGGAGCCAAAAAGTGGCTGTGCTTCCCCATCTTGGAAGCACTATGCCACAGAAATCCCTCCTCCTGGTTCAAGCTAGTAAGTATTTCCCTGGCCCCTGGAGGAGATGAAAGACCTGGTTGTGTACTCTAGGTAGCAAATGCTAGCTTTTCACACGATGCCCTCAAGGATGTTGGTTTTTACTCTGGAACTGAAACAAACTTCCTGTCTGCTCCTTGCTTTGAAAAGTAATGTGGAAAATAACAGCAAGGCTTAAAGCTTCTGGTGGAGCTCTTCTCTCTCACACTGACAGCTCAAAGAGTTTTTGGGGGGTCTTTGTAGATTCTCCAGCCAGTGTGGTGGTGTTTCTGTGATTCTGTGATATTCAGATAATGGTTTAGGTTGAATGGGCCCTCAAAGCTCATCTCGTTCTGACCCTACCGCGGGCAGGGACACCTTCCACTAGACCAGAGCCCTGTCCAACCTGGCCTTGAATACTTTCAGGGATGGAGAGTCCACAGTCTGTCTGTTCCAGTGCCTCACCTGGGAGAGGTAAAGAACTTCTTTCTCAAGTGCTCTTTGAGGGCTGACCAACACGCTGCTTGTTGGCCATGTGCTGGGAAGAGACCACTTTGCTGTGGTTCTGTTGGCTGATGCAGAGGGTCTTGTCCTGAATAAGGTGTGTGGGACCCATGCCCAGCTCCACACCCCTGAATGCTTCATGTCCCCCTGCCTTTGGCACTCTGGAAAAGAGGTAACTTCTTGCTGAAGCGCCTGGTAGAAAGCAAAGCATCCTCATGGAAGGATCCTGCATGACTCCTGCATGGTTGTAAAACATCAAGGCCTGTTCAGCTCCAGGTCTGTGTCTCTGTGCCTGGGGCCTCCGGAGCTGTCCATGCTAGGACATGTCTCAGGAAATGGGCTCAGTGTCTGAAGCTGCTAATTAAGTGCAAAAAGGGTTCATTATTTGTCAAGAGCTAGAAAGGGTCCCATTTGCCAGTCGCAGTTTCAGACTTCCTCTTTCATTGTCATTTTTCATTCTGCCTTATTCTTCCCTTTACCCAGGGACGTGGTCCCTGAATTCTCCATAATGTCAGTCTTTGGACATCAAGGCTGGATGGAAAGGGAGAGGCTGGAGCTCGTTACCATGATAAACTGGTGCTCTAACAGGGCTGTCCACATATTCTCACTTGCTAAACATGGCTTTCTGCTGCTGCCAGAGGTGCCTTTCTGCTCCATGCCATGCTTGCAGCCAAACGAGGTTCCTGGCTTCCTGGCCGTGTTTAACATGGGCAGGACTTCTGGGTGTATGGCCAGGGAAAGGATGGAGAGCAAGCTCTGCATTTTGAACCTGGAATTCTCTCAAGATGCTGGAGTCACATCTGTGTGAACGTGGGAGTCATGTTTGCTGTGCTGCAGGTCAAAAGGTCTGTTAAAAAAAGGTCTTGAATGAGGTGGGGATGGGTTTTGTCACTTGGCCTTGCCAGCAGGCAGTGGCAGAGTCTGACTGGCACAGGGATTTTCCCACGTTACACTTTGATCCTCTGTAACCTGCTGGTCATCTTGTTCTTTGAGCAGAACATGAATAATGCCTAACCCCTGGTTCAAACCTGAACCTTAGGATGGCATGAGATGATTTATTTACCTTTATTCCTAAAGTGAATCATTGTACCATGGAGTGTATTATAAATAGAATCTTCTGTTTCACTTCCTTGTTTGGAGTCACCACCAAACATTGGGATTGGTGTAAGGAAACTGAGTAAGTTTCTGGCCAATGAACCCATCTGGATTTTTTTATGCACAGCTTTTGTTTTTCTTTCTAAGTTTAAGTAGGGCATGTTCCAGGTGGCAAGACAGCAGAGCTGAAAGGGTGTTCAGCATTTAAGTATGTGGACTGTCATGTTAATGGGATGCTCCAGTTTTTTGCCCAGGAGTGGATGACAAGTGACTAAATAAAGCTGCAATCTCTGTTTTCCTGTGAATAGGTGCTTGTGTTTTCCCTTTATTTTAGGTCTTGGTTGGTTTGGTACAAGTTTGGCTGGTTCTTCCTTGCTGCAGCGTCTGATCTGGTCAAATAACTTGGAAGTACTTCAGTATCAAGGAGAACAAAAGTTGGCCTTAAATGCTTCACAGTAAATTTTATATTGAGGGCTCCATTCAGCTCCCTAATACCTTTTCATTTGAGAGGAGTGTATCATTGCTTGTGCACTGGAGTAGTGGTGTGTGTTCCTCACAGTGGTGGTTGGCTTCATTCCGAAGCTGGTGCTGGATAATTGTAGAGGAGGATTAATTAACTATAGCTGTTGTGAGCTCGTGAGGACTTTCAAAGTGTGCCACAACCCCAGTGAGCAATCCTCCGGGCTTCTGGAGGACAGAAACCATGAACAACATCAGAAGGGCACGGGTGCCACTTGAACTGCACTGGCCACAAGCTCCTGAAAAGACAGGTCAGAGGTGGAGACCAAATTCCCACATGCTTCTGTCAAAGTGGTGTCACTCAGCAGCACAGCCACAGTGGCTTTGGTCTGTCTTGCACTTCATGTTGGAGAAAGCAAAAACACCCTCTGTTTTAGGATATTAATATGGACCTTTACTGTCACCTTGCTGTGACAGTTGGAAAAATAAGGATAAAACTGCTAACTTAGCTTGGAATACTCATTGGGGTGCTGGTTGCTTCTAGCCTGTGTAAGGGAATCTCCCTTCTTCAGAAGGGTCTTCTTTAGATGACAGTCAGAACTTAAAGTTGCTTTTAAAATTTTCATTTTTGTTAGAACTCTCCATGTGTTTTCTTCCAAAGGGCATTACATGCCCAGGTTTTGAGTGCAGAACAGAACAGGCTGTCTCTGGTTGCTCTGGGCAGGGTTACCCAGAAATAGTTCCATTTCAGTTTGACTTCCACACCTGTCTTACAGTGCACTCCCCTTCAGAAATTGCTGTTTGGACCCTGTGCTCTGGAGGGTGTTTTTTAAGGAAGAAAGTCAGAAACAAACAAATAAAACCTTGTGCTTCCTTCTGACCAAAGTGCCTGGAGCATGGAGGAGATGGAGCCAGCCCAGGCACACTGCACCAAGGAAGTTCAGGTTTGGGAACCTGTTTCCCAAAAACCAAACCTCCAATGACTGAAGAGACAGAAAGATGTATTTTTTTTAAAAACACACTGTTTTCTGAACTGAAGTTCACATTATTTATTGCATGGAAAGCTATGAGTTTGCCCTGACTTGATAGGGTAAGGAGAATGATTTTCCTATGAGGAGTAATGTATTTTTTTTAAAAACACACTGTTTTCTGAACTGAAGTTCACATTATTTATTGCATGGAAAGCTATGAGTTTGCCCTGACATAGGGTAAGGAGCATGATTTTCCTATGAGGAGTGGGGTTTGGCTCTGTTTCATCCCCAGTACTTGGATGCTGCCATATCTAGCTGAAACCAAACAATGCTTTTTTTGTTTTTAAGCAGAATACAGTAAGATTGGAAGTCACTGGTGTAAACTGTTGCATGGAGCCTTGCTAAAATATGTTTTCTTCCTTACCAGGTTTGGTACAGATATGAGTGCCTGGCTGCTCTGCTGCTCCCGTGCCCCAGCACTCCCTGCCCTGTGATTTTGGATAACAAGCCTAAGAAGTGGATTACACATCAGGTGGTGAGTGCCACATGTTCTAGAGTGTCTTAGCCTGGAGCTCAAATATTCCTTCCTAAAAACCTAAACTCACCTATATTTGATAAGAGGCACCTCTCTTGTGGAAAGAGGGAGAACTGAGGCTGTTCATCCTGGAGAAGGGGAGGTTGCATGGACACCTCGGAGAACCTTCCAGGATCTGAAGGGGCTACAGGGAAGCTGGAGAGGGACTGTTCATCCAGAACAAGACAAGGGAGAATAACTTCAAACTAAAATAGGGGAAATTTAGGTTAAATACAAGTAAGAAATTGTTCCCTGTGAGGGTGGTGTGGCCCTGGCACAGGTTGCCCGGAGCAGCTGTGGCTGCCCCATCCCTGGAAGGATCCAAGGCCAGGACAGGGCTTGGAGCAGCCTGGGCTAGTGGAAGGTGTCCCTGCTCATGGCAGGGGGTGGAATGAGATGGGCTTTAAGGTCCCATCCAACCCAAACCCTTCTGTGATTCTTTGATTCTCTATTTACGGCAAGACACTAAAAATCCAGTATTTTATCTGGATCATCAATAAAATATTTGCCAAGCCTATGGAAGGATGCTTAGAGACCCAAATGTAAGTTGTTCAATTCTTATTCCTTATTTCCATTTTGATTTTATTTTTCCTCTCAGTTTTGTCAGCATTTTTCATCTGAAGTCACTTACCTGGGAACTTGCATCCCTGATTTCCTTTCCCTGGCATTATTTTTAGAAAGACACGTGTAGAGCTGAGAAGTAGGTAGCTGCAGTGTTGCTTGTCAGTGACTAACAAGGAAATTGGGCAGGATTAAAGGCAGGGAGAGTCCAGAGTCTCTTGTGGTGAACTCAGAGCAGAGTTGTTGTGTTGTGTGTGTAAGTGTGTTTGTGTGACAAATAAAATAAGGGCCAGGTTATCTAATCTGTAACAGCTCACCTATGGAATGAGCAGATAACTCAAAACCAAAGTTGTTCGGAAAATTTTCCTCTCCAGAAATCAAATGGAATAGTATTTGTAGGTGAGAGTGTTGGACTGAATCCAGTGGGGGTAGATCCCTTGATTTAATGGAAATAAACCAGTGAGTGTTCTGGTTTGGTGAGGGTGGTGACCTTTAGGCTTAGCACAGGGGGGTTTTGGCGCGTACATAAAGGCTAAAACTGGCACCAGAGTTCCTTTTCTGGACTTCTGAAAATGCATTTATGTAGTGATAAACAATTTTTTTTCTGTGCAGACTAAGTGATCCTGATTAAGTCATTGGGATATTTTGTTTAGGGCCATAATTGTGCAGCATCCTTTGGGAATGCTGTTTCTATTTTTGGTCAAAGTGATGCAACAAAACAAATTCTTTTAAAATTGTAATTTCCATTTAGAATTTTCTCTGTAGAAATTTTCATGAGCTCTTGCCTTTTGGTAATTTCAGCTGGGGGTGGGAGGGAGCACAGTGGATGGGCCGCAGTTTCATCCTCTCAGCAGCTTCCAGCCTGGAGGAGAAATCTGGTTCCAATTTTGCTTGATATTGTATCTCAAATTATTTTTGCAGCTCCATTCCCTAAAACCAATTTGTCTATTTTTGGTGACAGTAGTAGGAGTGTCATTAATTGTTGAAAAGTGTTTAGTTTGAGCAGTTCAGGGTGGTGCAGCACAGTGCTTTAATATCTTCTATGAGCCCAGCAGAAGCTGCATCATCTGCCTGGGCCTCTTTCATATTTTTTTTTCTCAGAGAGAAGCCCCTGCAGTCTAAAGCTTTGCTGTTGTGATATTGTGGAGGGTTTCTTTTGGAGCTGAAGTCACTGGCTTGTTTTTCTGTATCCTGCCTGTAAGATGGCTGGGATCTTGGGAAGTTTTTTGCCTCAGATATACCCATTTCCCAAGGCTGGCGTTCCTAGCATGCTTTTTCACTTCGGTGCAGCTTGTTTCCTGTTCCTGCCTCCTTTAATCTTTCTGTATATTTTAATTTAATATTTAAGGACACACTGTTTTTCCCATTCTGTGACTTCCACAGGTGCTGCTGTGAGCCAGCACTCTGCCTCGTGCCATCCCTTGTCAGTGTGTGTCCTCACCTGCTGTTCCCTGCCTCAGTTTCCCCGAGGTGCACTGGCCTGACTTCTTCCCAGCCCCAGTGAAACCAGTGCCAGATGCTTCCCTCCCTCATTTGAGCTGCAGAACCAGACTTTATCCCTGTGAGTGAGGAGCTGGCTCTTGGCACTGCCATGCTCAGTCAGCCATGTCCAGCTTGAGGAATTTGGCCTTAGGTGTAAATTTTTTTCCCTGGGTGGCATAAATGAGCAAGAGCAACAGCAGCTGCAGCCTCAAGCTGATGTCCAAAAGCAGGGAGACAGCTGTGAAGGCATAGGTGCCTCCTCTGTACCCTGCTTGCATCCTGAGAGCAGCCCTAGGAATGTGGGGAAGCCTAAATTTCTTTTTGTACGTGGAGCTTTCTAGTTGTATTAGTCATCCATCAGGCTTCTGGATTATTTAAGTGCTTAAGCACTCCTCAAAAAACAGCAATATCTATTTGTAGAAAGGTACATCGTGTGAAGTGCAATTCCAGTATGTTAGAGCTGCCTGCTGGAGGTGTTCTTGGGAATTTTGCCCTTCCAGTTGTGGGACTTCAGGAGCTGGAGAGCCCCATGAAAGCCCTGAAATCTTAAAGGCTTCTGGTGATACATTAGAGCTCCTCTCACCTTGTCCCACGAAATCACTCCTCCTGTTCAGCCCAGTGCAGCCTCAGCTGGTCACTGCTGGTCTCCAGACACTGAGAAACCCTGAGGAGAAGGGGATCTGTAGCATTTGGAGGGAATATTCTTCCATTAGGCATAGGAGAACTGACTCAAACAGTGAAAGACCAAAACCCTCTTCTCTAACTCTTGAACTTGTTCTGTCTTGAACTGAGTCTGGAAGTGCCTAAAGCTGAAATAGCCCATTTTTGCTGTAATTCATCTGTCTGTGCTGTTGGCAGAAAATCTGTAGGACAGTTGCAGCACAATTATATCCTCATAAACTTAGAGAAAACTCAAATCTTCATGGGTTTTGTAATGCATGTGAGTTGACTTCATTGTATTCTAACCCAGAAATGAAACATGAGGTTTCATGTAAAGTTTTGAGATTCACAGACTGGCAAAACACTTGTCCTTGCTTATGCAGTCTGGCTTTTATGTAACTCATTATTTTTGCTCAAATGTTGCAGATAGTCGGTTTCCTCTAGCAACAGCCACCAGATGTTTCACTGAACAAGACTTAATTCTTTAAAATTGACCTGTGAGAAATGTGTGAAGGCGAACAGGGAGGCGGAACAATTGTATGCCAGTGTGATTTCCATTTCCTTGCTAAAACCCCACTGCAAGCCTTGCAGTTTGATTCCAGCAATGAGGGATACTGATTTTTGTGGTGTACCATGAGATTTTTAGTTTTTAGGTCTGTGGTTTTTAGTGTTTCCATAAATGTGGTGTTGGGAGCTGGGGGATGGGATCAAGCTGTCTTACAGCTGTTATTGTTACTTGGGCAATTAGCACTGTATGGATTAATTCTCTTTGGTGGATATGCCACTGTGGGAGTCCTACTGTCTGTAGCTCCTCTGTGATCAACCTTGTGCTTTGCTAGACTATTTCATATTTCCATGGGAAACCAACTCCTCCCTCAGTTTTCCAGCTGGGGGAAGGGAGTGACCCAGTGGGGTGTGTGGTCCTGGTGGTCACTGCAAGAAGTTCCCAGCAGCTCTTGTGTCTGAAACTGGTCCTTCCCCATTCTAGGGATTTGTCCTGTCCATCCAGCACCACTTTGTGTGGGAGAAGATTGCACAGGGATTCTTGGCTGGGGATGAATTATCTGCAGCCTGGATTTTTGGGTCTGTTGTTTTATTGTCCAGGTCTGCACAGACTACATAAATCAAGGCAGAGCTGTGCCACTTCCCTTCCCCACAAGGATATCTTGCTCCATTTTGCTGCTTCTTGTGCAGTTTGGGCACGGATATGTGCACAGGACAGATGATCTTCAAGAGGAAATTTACTGGTCTGTAACTGGTGATAGCTCTGTACCTGAGAAGTAAGGAGTGGGTGGAGAAGTTCAGCTCTGAAGATATTTTCAAGATTTTGGAGATGAAAGTATCTCAAGGCCAGGTTGGACGGGGCTTGGAGTAGCCTAGGCTAGTGGAAGGTGTCCCTGCCTGCAGGGGAATGGAACTGGATGAGCTTTAAGGTTCCTTCCAACCCAATCCAGTCTGGCATTCAGCTGGCAGCCAGCCCTGCAGTTCTGGAGTTGACTCACTGAGAGGTCAAACAAGTGCCAGAGCTAGTGAAAAGGAGGGACTTGAAGGTGTTTGGTGGATGGAGCACCAGGAAGGTGCCTTTTGGGGTAGCTGGATGTTAATTTGATGTATGTGTACCGGGCATGCCTGTTTGGTAAGCTGGTTCAGCTCTTCAGTCAGAATTATCTCATCCCAGCATTACAGAATCAAGTAGATTGGAAAACACCTTTAAGATGAAGTCCAACTTTCGACCAGTCACCACCTTTTGAACTAGAACAGAACACTAAGTCCTACCATCAGTTGTTTCCTGAACACCTCCAGTGATAGTGACTCCACCACCTCCCTGAACAGCCCATTCTGATGCTTAATAACTCCTGAGAAGAAATTCTGCCTGATGTCCAACGTGAACCTCCCCTGGCACAGATTGAGGCCATGTCCTCTCATCCTCAGCCCAAATGAGACACCTAAAGCCTGGCTTTGCCTCCCACTCTCCTTCCTCATTGTAACCATGCCAGTATGGGGCTCTCACTGCTCGTGGAGCTCCCTTGTTCTCCCCACACCGTGGGAGATGCGACCCTGAACCGTGGCTGCCAATGCTGGGAGCTCCACTGGGCTGGACTTGCCTTGTCTTTGCCTAATTTCAGATTTTAGCCTGTCTCAGCCTGGCTGCTGAGCTACTAATGCTCTGCTCATGGTCTGTTCCATCCCTGGAATGGGCTGGAGGAGCCTGAGCTGCTCTGTTTCAGGCCCCTGGGATGCTGTGGGGCCATTTGAGG